AGGAGAACTACAAGATCATGCGGGAATAACGACAAAAACGTGCAAACAACATGTTTATTGCTCTTTGTGAGGATGATTTGTTGACCATTCGGTGCCTGTTTTGACTTAATGTTGATGAAGTGAAAGAAAACATGAGTAAGAGTTTTGAAATTAACCGTTTGCTCTGTGCGTTTCCTTGTCTGACTTCCTGTCCTGCTTGATCGTGAAGCGTGCATATTTGAAACAGAGCAGCGCGTGCTGCTGGCACGCTCCGGAGACGGACTGAGGCGCTTGCTGTGGAAACGGGAGCATTGACTAGAGTGGCAGCTAATAAAATAAAAGCCCCACTTTTATTTTAAATACTAAATAATGGAATTTGAAAAATGCGATTAAAAATGTGATTAACTACTGAAAATAAAATCGTTTAAAACCCTAATTTCAACGTGTAGCCGTAGTCAGACAGCGAGCAGACAAATGTCAGTGTTCAGATTGTCATTTTTATTGTCTTGGATCACGTGTAGGTGTACAAAAAGCATGCAAAAAATAGGATCTTCATATATAATGGTACATATTTACATTGTAACAACCACATTCCACAGAGATGTGCCATGCTTCTGTTTTTTTCTTTTAATCACTAGAGCAGTGGATCTCAACCGGTCTAACCTCAGGACGCACACCGCCAGCTCCTCCACGAAAAAACATGACCCAAATGTGTGACATTTTTTAAAACAATCAGATTTATTCAATGTGTGGTTGTGCAGGTTGGACCTCAGAAGGTTCAAAACATGTGACAGCACAAAAAAAACCTAACAAAATCGCTTCATATACTTTTTTTGAAAAAACAAAATCCCAGGCACATATTCGCAACCCACTTTTGGGTCCCGACCCACCAGTTGAGAAACACTGGACTAGATAGTACATTCAGAGAAATGCATGAGACAATAAGACAGACACACAAACACAGAGCAGGCAGCTTCAAAACACGACTCAGGACAGAACACAGATGAGATTCACAACGAGAAGCAAATCATCCCCGACATCCTGTGAGGTACAAACTCCCTCTCACACGATCCTTTTCCTTTGGAAATAACTACGACCTAGGTGAGGTCGTAGTTTCTGTTCAACGTTTGTTTGATTTTTCAGCAGTACCAAAAATGCCAGGGGAGCAAACCTCATCCAAAGCTGCAGCATGCAACACCTTTGATAAACACTTTGGATTTAGTTAACGTGCATCTGGATCAGGCTAAAAAGGCAGATTTTAGGAGGACATTTAAAGGCTATATGCTTTTTAAATTTTTAAAAAGGAGGAATTGTTGCATGACTGATGACGACTCTTACACGTGTCATGTACTGTAATACCTGTTTCAGGTTCAGTTCATGTTACACAGAAGTCCTTAAAAGCTGAAATCACAGAGTTTTTTTTAAACATTTATTTGTATATCACCTTTAGTATCTGCCCCAGAAATGACAAATCTTTAGGTATTCAGAGTGACATTTAAGAGAGAGGGGAAAAAAAGGTTTACGCTGTGCGTCTAATATAACTCTTATGAATTTGATGTCCCTCTGTCATGATGCTCTGGAGCCATGAGCTGCAGCAGTGCTGACTTTACATTTCAGTGCTCTTACAACACATGCCATTGGCTACTTAAGTAAGATTTAGGAGTGGAAGGTTTACAAAAAATATGTTCATATGTTACCTACATGCCTGATAGTTTGAAACCATTTAGGGTAGAATTGAGTCCGCAAAAAACAAATGGAGGTAAAAACTGACACGTGTCCCAGGATCTGGACATTGCCTCTTCACCTGCCTATCTTTAATCATTTTCAGTACATGCTTAAAACAAAGAGCGACAGATATGGACAGAAAAAAAACCTTTTTCAGAAGTAATCTAGAAAATGATTTGCTGTTGAAGAAGCAGTGACAGTGCGCATGGTACTAGTTTCTATGCTGCCATTTGAAGCTTCTCCTTTGCTATGAATCCTGCTCAGAGGTGTGCTTGTGATCAGGCAGGGCAGGCAACTGTTTGAGTGCTCACAAACTAAAACCAGAACAGTGGCCTTAAATCTGCAAATTTTTCAACAACAGTAGGAAACCTCCCTAAGGGGGCGCCATCTGACATTGCATGCAATATGGCTGTAAAAGCCCATGTTTGTCCATGAAAGTAAACAAAGAAAAATGAAGAGGAATTATCCATCTATAGAAGAGAAAAAAAAAGTGGCAGACATGATGATGATGAACGCTGGTTGGAGGGCCCCAACAGACTCTAGAATCGCCACTGATCCTGCTCATCTAACAGGTTTTTTACAGTTTTAGCTTCATGCATCTTATCTGTAGTGACATCCAGAAGTCCCCTGTCCGGATTAAACAAACACAACACTTTTTTTAAAATGGAGGTAAACAACGAAGACGACTTTTAAAATCCACCGTTCTTTTGCTGTAGCTGTTACAGTATTTAGAGACATACAGGGGAAGAAGTTTGAAAACATCTTTCAGATTCATTTGTAAAATTCTCAGGGACTCCGAAGCCGCGCTGCGACATGCAGATGGATATTAAAGAGGAATGCTTTTAAAAGATGTGATGTGTGTGATGTGCTTTATACAGGTGAGCCACTCAGTTCTGTCCTTGATCATAAACTGTACATCGCTAACAGCTGACAGGTACCAGTAGTGTTTCATGACATCACAATAACTTTAATATGTTTCTGTAGGTGGAAAAAGTGCAAATATTTCAGCAGAAGCAACAAAAAGTAAAACAACACAACATTAAAATATGTTGCTCTGACATGACAGATGTCTGTACAAAGACACGACTTTAAAGCAGGATACACAAAGACTTAACATATATAGAAAACAACAAATAAAGTATTAAACCATTCGACGCAAATCAAATAAATCACATCATTTCATACTTTTTGGTTCAAACAGCCCTTCATTGAAGGTTACCGTGCACATGAATGCATTCTGTCACATCAGTCTCTGCAGAGAGAGGAATGGAAGCAGATACAGGTATCAAAACCCTCCTTATTAAATACAACATGTCAGATAATTAGACATGAAGGTGTTCCCTTATCCTCGTCAAACTGTTGATTTCTGGACTATAGAGTAAAATGATATAATTTTTAATCTCCAGACCTCTGTGAACATAAACTCCCTAAACACAGAGGCTCAATAGCAACAATAGCTTTCCCATTCAGCCCCCTCTCCGCTCTCCGCGCTTCACTTAGCATCCTTCACTGGAGGATACCGAGGGCAGCGCTAATCGGGGGAAATGCACTCTCTGTTTCTAATCCGCCACACGGAGGCCGGATCTGAAGTGGACATAGAAGTGTTGCTGTTGGCAGCTCGCGTCTAATCATGACATTGAAATGCTCCTTTTCACTGCAGTTCAAGTGATCAGAGCACTCAGTCAGCCAAACAGAGAAGGAGAAGGAGGAGGAGGAGGAGGAGGAGGAGGAGGAGGAGGGAGAGAAAGAGGACGAGGAGGAGGAGGAGGAGGAGGAGAAAATCAAAATGGAGTTATATAAACATTTTTGAGGCAGAGCTGCTGTGGAGGCAGAAATGTGCTCATTGATTTGAGTCTGCAGAAGCAAAACAACCCACAGATTCAGCCTTTTTTAAAGTGAAAAATCAGGAATGCAAAACAAGGAGCAGGATCATAAACAATAAAACCTAATGTTTTTCATTCACCAATAATTCGAACATTTGCGATCTCACAGCTAGTTTAGATCTAGAAGTAGAACGAGTTGGAACGTAAAGGTCCAATCAGTGAGATGTGTAGTGAGTGAAATGATAAAGTGATCTTACTATATGATCAGACTTTAAGGAAACATGCTATGTTGAAGTGCTGGCTTCCCTGACAACAATGCAGCAGCCAGTATGTCCTCCTTCTAACTTTAGATTCTGCTCCTGAATGCTCTGGATTTGTTTGGACCAGAGAAGGTAGTCGGTTTTAAGACACCCCCACACGGCCGTTTTGGACGCCCCTCGGTTTGCCAGATATGAGAGCAGTTATCAGGTCAACAGGTGTTGCAGTGATGGAAGCGGGCAAGAGAAGTGGTTCAGATAGAAGTGATTGTACCCGACCTAAAAAGCCTCTGCATGTTTCTAATAAGCTCCACGAGCAGAAACGTGCTCAAACTAGGATCAATATTGGAGATGATTTTGAAAAATGGAGAGAGGTTAGAACACAGAAAGGTTTATAGACCGATGCAGAGCATCGACTCTAGAGAGGAGGGGGGAGACAGCTCTCTATTATGTTTAGAATCTGGACTGCAGTACCCACTTTAAACACCAGGTGACAGAGTTACAAATACAAAAGAAGGGAAAGCACAAAAATGGAGAGGGATGGGTGGAGGCATTAAATGTTACATACTTGGGCCCTACCTTTGACTCCAAAAAACAGCTTCAATCAGCTTAATCTCAACATAAATTACCAGATAGTGAAACATCTCATTCAACAAGTGATATCTTAGAAAAGTCAAAGCATAAAGATTTAAGTTATTTTAAAATAATTTCATTTAAATCTATTTAGAATTCAATAAATAAAACGTCATAAAAAAACATCTTCCATAATAATTAAAGGAATACAAATCCAAAAAAGGTCACAAGATGCAAAATAAACTTCACCATGTTTCTCTAACACTAATATGTGTCTCTAGTCCGTCTACAAACCCCCCAATGATGAGAAAAGTCCATCCTCTCCATCTTTTGCCTGCTCCACTTTTCAGAAAATGTGTGCTCAAACAGGCCATTTGGATTTGGAGATTTTCCCTTCATGACATCACAAAGGGCAGTAACCCCTCTCCCAGGTGGGTGACACTCCCACAGCTAGATGTTTGTTCTGCCCTGAGTCTTCCTTCTCACCGTAAACAATAGGACAAGGAGCAAGAAACCCTGAACCTTCCAGAGAGGGGGCGTGGTCAGACACAGCTCATTTACATTTAAAGGTACAGACACAGAAACAGCCTATTCTGAGCAGGGCTGAAATAGAGGGGTTTATAGACATGATCAAATACAGGATCAGAGTGAATTAATAACAGGAAACTTCACAGACATGTTTTGGGGAGCTCTGAGACTTATCTTAACTTTTTGAAGAGGATTATGTGACCAATAAAGTGGAATAAACAATGTCCCTAACTCTGGGTCACTTAATACGAGTACATTCCTTTTCTTCTGAAAGATTTTTAATCTTGTAAAATTAGATGTTTCATGTCTTTAGAAAGCTCTGCATCAAATAAATATGACTTTGGAAGGGGGCCTCTATAAAGTAAAGCATTAAGAGTAGTTCATTGTCTGTTCACTGAAAACACACTCTTACAAATCCCCCCATTTCTGTCACAACAACTTCACATCAAACCAACGGATAAGGTTTGACGTTAAAGGACAGAGAGAGCGTTAGATAACAGGAATAAGAGAAACGACACATAACAGAAGAGGAGAAAAGGCGTAAAATTACTCCTCACAGCTGTCGTTTTCTGTGCGATCGCCCTTGGACAGATGACTTCCTCTCCTCGTCAGACTCGAGGACAGTGAAGGCAGCACAGGAAGGACTTCAATCTTTATCACCCAGCAACAAAATTAAACCTCAACTGGCACAGACACGAGGACAGAACATGTAAGATACGTCGTCAGAGACATCTATGTACAATTTTAAATATAATTTCGGAGAAATAAAAAGCCCTGCAGACCGCTGAAGAGACACTGTAGAGTCATTAACATGCAGAAGTATGTGATGGTCACTGAAATGGGTTTCTTTTCCTTTCAGCAGGCTGGGACAGTCTGATAATGAGGCCTCACTTTTCATCATGCAGATGGAAAAAAAAAAAAAAAAGAGTTAGACAGTTTTCTCACAATGCAGTGTAATGCCAGCTGACAAGTTCTTGTCTTTACTCCCACAACAACAATGTGAACTGTTCCAGTTCCAGATCCAAAGATCCAGAAATCCAGCAGAGAGTCCATCGTCTTATCCATTCACTGATGCCAGTCACAACAGTTAGTGGTCGAGCGGTTAAACAAGCAAGATTTGTTATTGAAATTGGTGCCCAAAGAGACTCCACACTGGGAGAGAAAAATGAGGGAGACTGAATATTCTGAGGTGAAAAGGAAGCATAAAACAAAACCAAGCCCTAGTTTACAGCTCTGAATGTAAACACAAGCATTATACTGGATGTGGAAACTTGAGTGTCGTCTGCGTAAAGAGTGATATGCCATCATGTGGCGCTTTGGATGAGTGGGGGTTAGCACACAGTGGTCCAAGCACAGGGGTGTAAAGTGGATGAAGTCGAAGATAGAGACTCAGGAGGAGGGCTCGTCTTCATGCAGGTCCTCCAGCTCTCCTTCTCGTGGTCCGTCTCCTGTGCTGCTCTTTCTGAAAGAACAAAGTACGGAGATAAAAGACAGGGAACTGAGTCTATGTGAATACACTGCTGAGGTCCACACTCTCAATGCATTATGTTCTTCTTGTTATTTGGTGACATGATGAATGTTCAAAACAACACAGATGCAGCTTTAAATGACAGCTGGGGGGGGGGCTTCTTGGTTGTTTCTATTGGAAGGTATAAGCGAGAGCTGAGGGTTCAAAGATGATGATGGGCGCAGCAGCTGGTAGATGTCAGAGGAATTGTGAGCCAGACTGTATTGTGTTACCTGAGTGAGGGGTGAAGTTTTAAAGAAGGCCGGAAAGGCCATGCATCCCTGCAGCACAGTGAAAGGAAGAGAAGAGGGAAAGGTCACAGGTGAGAGGGGAAAGGTCACCTGGGGGGGGGGGGGGGGGTCAAAGACATGGTCGTTGGTGGAGATGACCTCCCCTCTATGCACTCCCCTTCCTCGACACAAGGGGCAGTGTGGAGCTGTCCAATTGCTCTGATTGACCAATGGGACCATGGCAGTTTGAATAATTTAACAAAAGCTTGAGACAGTTCATAAAATGTTCTTTCTATTGCTATTTCCGACCAAATATCTAATATTTTAGGAGCTTGCTTATATTTTCCAGCAGGGGGCAGTATTGTTTCAGACTCCCCACCCATCCTCTGAAAACACCTTCACCTTAGATAGCAGCACTGTGGCTGCATGGAGTGTAACGGGGGGGGGGACCTCGGCCTAGAACGAGGAGGAATCATCTATTAAAACCCCTGACAATGGGAGATTACATGCTCAGCGCTGCAGTAGTCCTTCCTCATCACAAACTCTGTAGGACATTTAACACAGATTAGTGTCCTCGAGGGCCCCCCACTGATCGCAGGGACCAGCTATAGCTACTCCCCGGATTGCACTGTCTATGCTGAATGAGGGGATAAGACGATTGGCCATTTCCGCCTTTGATGCTTTCAATCAGTGTTACAAAAAAATCCAAGGTCAGCTTGAGGCGCTGATGGATCTCTATTACTCCGTGTCTCTGAAAGCAACACACAAAGAAACACTTATAAAAGCTGTAAGCTCCACAGCATACAATGAAATAATGAAATATGGTGCTATGGCAACCCAAAGCGGCAGCAGCTGCTGCTGCTGCAGGAGTGAGCACTGGTTAACCTGATACACAGAGAGGAGACAGGTGTGAGGTACAGATATAGTTATGTCAGAATCTACAGCAATCCCTGCAATAACAAGAACACGCCTGCAGGGTTTGTTTATGTATTTTTTAGTAGTATTGAGGATCCGACCGCTGGACTGTGTGCGCCACAGACTGAATAATGATGAGTGCTTACATGAGCAGGCTGCCGGGCGCAGACATGGACCTCTCCTCCCTCCTGCTCGGACACTCAAAGGGGTTACTGAAGGAGCGCTTCCTCAGCATGGCTCTGACCAAGATCTGCAACATTCACAAACACACAGCGGTTACAGAGACATGCAGACGGTCTTAAGATGATTAGTACACAAAACTTGATTAATCCCTTGAGGGCAAAGTCACTTTTACTCTGTTAGTGAGTCATGCTACACACACACACATGCACAAACAGGATCCTATGGACATGCACTAATGGATTAATATGACTGGCGCCCCTTAGAGGTCGAGGCCGATCAGCTGCTTTGGAGACGCTGGCCTCAGACCCCTGTTTACAGAGCACCAAATAAAATGTGTTGTCTGGCCTCCACCTCAGTAACAACCACCTCAATTTCACAGTCAGTGAAATTCTTCTTTTTTGTTCCTTTTCCTGCACGATTCGCTATCTTTATTCGGCCTTTAGGTTGCAGCATGTGGCTGGTTTACAGTAATTTGCAAAGTCATTAATGGGAGGAGGCAAGGCAGGCAAAGTGGCACGTGTGGCTGCGCTCAGTTTCACGTTAATTGGGATGTGTTAAAAGGAAAGGTGTGCAGGATCAGGCGTTGCGGGGCGTCTCACCACTGCAGAGAGGCTGGGGACAAACTTGACTGAGTTCTGGATGTCCTCCTCCGTCACCTCCACCACAGAGCAGTGCTCGTCCTCCAGAGGCAGGGGGTCTGTGCCCCCCTGGGTCACCCACTGGTCCATCTAAACGCACAAAGAGACACGCATGATCAAGAGATCTGACAGTGTGAGAACATGACAACCTGTCTATACTGTAACTATAATCCACAGTGCCGGTGATTTAAACTCAGGAGTCTCTTTTTTGTATTCATATTTGATATATCCGACAGGAGCACTCCCTCTAACAAACGTACATATTTTACATCATAATCACAAACACGTGTTTTCCAGGCAGCTTTCTGTTTTGATGTATCGCGTTTAAAGTCAGGACAGAAAATCTCTCAGAGGGACCAGCCAGCCTCAAAGTAACTACACTCCTGCTCACTTTGATTTCAAGTTAAAGTTGGATCGAATAAAACATTTGTTTGTTTGTTGTTGTCCACTATTGAAAAGAACAAAAGCAACAGCATGTTAGTCAGCCTCCCACTTTCCCAGCCCGTCTGTGGATCTCGGCTTCAGCCATTTCATACCGACTGAAAAAAAAAAAAAGGATTATAAAAGACTAAAAAGACTAACTGCTTATCCATTTGTTGACTTTGTGGGAGAAAGTGTGGAAGTTTGTGCAAAGTTTCAGACTAGTTCGGAGATTATTCTATTCTTTCATGGCTTTAAAAGTGAAAGCAGATTGTGCCAAAGCGGAGCCACGTTTAGGGATACTACAATCTCTGCTTGAGGCAGACCTCGAAGCTCTGCTCGTGTGCTCAGAGCGAAAGTTTGACAAAGCTCTTCTCGGATGAAATGCTCCTGCAGTGACTGTGTGGAGAACACACACACACACACACACACACACACACACACACACACACACACACACACACACACACACACACACACACACACACACACACACACACACACACACACACACACACACACACACACACACACACACACACACACACACACACACACACACACACACACACACACACACACACACACACACACACACACACACACACACACACACACACACACACACACACACACACACACACACACACACACACACACACACACACACACACACACACACACACACACACACACACACCATTTGAGAAAGTCACTCAGTCTCTAAGCTTACTGACGTGTTATCACTTGTAAGAAAGATTAATTCACTGTTGGTTTGAATCTTTTTTTTATAAGGTTAATTGACTGTAATGTGTTGAATATCCCACGACCACTCCCTGCTGCTATTTGTGAACCTCTGACCTCCAGGACTAAATCGTTTTTACGACAAGACAACATTAACCCCATTAAGTCCCATCAATGGCGGTCTCCATGCTGGAAATGCTGTCTCAGTCTAACTTTCAGTCAACCTAACAACAGGCTGAGAGCTGGAGCTGAGGCGGGTTTTAAGCCTCCTGACAAACCGTTACATGGCACATTTTTCTTTCTAACAAGAAACTTCACAAACATGTTTTGGGAAGCTTTTTTAAACTGGTTGAAAAAGGAGGATAACATGTGACCTTTCACCCCGCTTTCCTTCCAACATCAGTCACACTGCTGAACAAGCTAACAGCCAAACCTGAGCTCTGTTGAACCAATCCATGCACAGATGTAAACTTGTTTTCATGTCTTATAAAATATGTGTTTGTGAGAGTGTGAGTCTGTGTGTTAGTGCACACATATATGCATGATGCACGCAGGCCTAATTATCTCCTGTTCCATCAACACAAACAGAGTCTCTGGTGAGAGCATGACTCACTGACACATTATCAGACTGTGTCATGGAAACACGGTGGGGAGTGAGGAGTGACATGTGTCACCCGGGCTGCTTCTGGACCCTCTTCTTTAGACTCAGACAGGTCTCATCACGCCCTGCAGCAGCACAGCACGACTAATGTTCCCTGCTGTACCACACCACACAGTGAGGTCACACGGTCCTCTCAGCCAATCACAGCAGACAAAAGCACAGTCGTGAGTGTTGTGTCTGAACATGAACAATGAGAGCCTTGTTACAATCAGCCGTCTTTCTCCGTGAACAATCAGTGACTAACACTGTGTTCTCCTCTTTACACTTTGTCAGCCCTCTTTGGTACCTTGATCTCAGGGATGGTGATCCGGTTGTCCGGGTTCTTGTCGAGCATCCGTAAGATAAGAGTCCGCAGCTCCTCACTGGCATTAGGCCTGAAAAGAAACACAAGATCATTGTGTGACTAGGAGCTCCGCTTGTTTGCACATGTGGTTCATAATGAGAAAAAGGACACTACAGCTGTTGATTGTGATGACATTTGTATAAAATCTGATTTCCTACAAGCATGTGAACTGTTCAAAAGAAAAACCTTAAAAAAAACGACATTCTCAGATTCTTTCATTTCGATGACTTTGACGGCCACAGAAGAAGAAAAGGACAGCTGGAATAATTCATTATCTCCCCCTCTGCAGTTATCCATTATGGGATTGTTTGTGCTGTCAGATAGAATTAACAGAAGATCTTCTTTTCTCACCTCTGAGAGAACGCCTGTCACTTACTATCACCCAGAATACACGCAGAGTGTTTGCTCTACTGAGTGGGGGGACGGATGACAGACACGATGATGACACAGATTATTTAGGTGTCTATGTTCTTCTTGATGCAGATGTCAATAAAGAGAATGAATGACATGAGGTGCAACTTCGAGCAGATTTTCTAAACAGGGCTTCTTGTGCACTAAAAGGGTACTTTACAGTTTAAATCAAATGTATACTCATATTTATTTGAGGTTTTTTTATGCATTTACTGTAGAGATAAACCAGTGGGTGTAGTCTGAAATCAGGGAGAGAGAGAGATAGAGAGAGAGAGAGAGAGAGAGAGAGAGAGTGGGGAAAGACATGTCAGCCACAGGTCAGATTTGAACCCGGGCTGCCTGCTTCGAGGACTACAGCATGTGGACACTGGGCCCGCGCCCTAACCACTCAGCCACTGTATGCCCCTCATGTATCCTCATATTAAGGGAGTTGTAAGACCTCGACAGTACTCGTTGTGCTTGAGAGTGCATTGAAATTAATGAGCAAGCGTGCAGGGAAGTTGTACAGATCAGCTAAAAGGAAAACATCAATGGTTTGAATGTTACACTTAAAGCAGTGAACATTTTCAACCATGCTCAAAGTAATGAATAAACACTGAAAAGAGTTCACTGCATTAGATTAAAAAGGGTAAACATGGATGAAGAGAGAGAGAGAGACAACCAAACGGAGAGAGCAATGAGATAAGCAGCGCAGTGCAGAGAATTAACTGGATTACCATTATTCTTGCTCCTTTTATTTTGGAGCTGCACATCTGTAGATCTGAAGCCTGTGAGTTTAAATCAAGTTGTGATACACTCATGCATCATGGAAACACAACAATGTGTTGAGATTTTTAAGCATTCGTTTCTCTGAGCTAACTGTCACTGATGGGTTCAGCGTGGAGATGATTCCATTACCTGCTGTGATATTCTGCTGCGTTTAATGAACGTGCTCTGTGCACAGACACGGACCCTCTCCACACCACTGTGTGAAGACACTTATCATTTTAAACACCCAGTCCTGACTCCGACACACTCACAATAATATCTCCTGCACACGTGTGTATTTACACTCCACCACCGGTGTGTTCCTGCAGGCTATCCCCACTGCTACCCTTTGATGGCTGATCGTTCTATCACTGTAGTTTCCTGTTATTTACCAAAATAAAAGACCTTCATGTTTCTCTTTAGAAAGGGCTTGCATGTGTCCAGGCAACTGGTGCACTCGTTTTCTGTTTTGATACTTATTTTGATCCCTTAAAGGCGACATATAGAACTCTACAATTCATTTATCAGATGCTTTTATCTAAAGCAACGAACATCAGAGAGTTAGAACAACACAAGCAAAGATCTAGAGAGGAGGAAACAATGTCAGGAAGTGCAAACAAACAGCTTTAAGTCCGAGCGGACACATAGGTGCTGACAGGAAGTGCACATTTTTAATATACATCATCAACAACAACATCGACAGCTGTTCTTGAGAGTTTTAATCAGCATCAAAACCATCCTAAATATCGCCGTCGTCATTATCATCATGAAGGTCTTTAGCTTTTTCTTAAAGGCGCAAAGAGACTCTGTAGAACCAAAGGAGTTTGGTGGTTTATTCCACCAGCAGGGGGCGACAGAGGAGAAGAGTCTAGTTAGAGACTTGGGACCCTGTTGTGAAGGTTGGATCAGACGCCTTTCATTTGCAGAGCGTAGAGGGCGAGAGAGAGTGTAGACCTGGATGAGAGCGTGAAGGTAAGGAGGAGCCGTTTTTGTCATCTACATCTACTGAGTGCTCCTAAAAGCTGCAGCACACAAAGCTACTCATTTATATCTGCAGTTGCAAATGGCAACTGCAAAAAGAAGAAAACGATTTTGAGACAAAAACAGAGATGAATAGAAATTAAATATCGAGGTAATGATGACAGCTGCTAAGGAAAAGTATGAGCCTGGAGCATCACTGCTGTCTCGTTTAATAGAGTGTAGGAGGAGGATGTGGAGGGAGGAGGAGGAGGGAGGACGCAGGAGTCAGACTTACGTTTCTGGGAAATCCACAAGCTTGGTCCTTATCTTATTGTGCAAAGCCAGTATGTACTCATCAATAAACGGGCACTGCAGGAGGAGCAGAGGAAAAACAGAGAGAGAGAACAGTGAATTGTAGTGTTCACAAATTCTGTTTTCCTGGAGACAGCCAAATAAGAATAAGAACAGGAGAATTCAGCATTCCACAAGCACATCTTACTTTATTTTTTGGGTCATTTTTGCCTTTTACCACATGCCTTATGTAGGGCTTCTGATCTAAACAAGCGCCCCCAGTCTGACCATCTTTTAAAAGGTCACATTTTATACAAAATCCTCTTCACCATGTTTTTCTATCTCTAATATGTGTCTGTCTACACCCCCCCCCCCCCCAATGATGAGAAAAGTCCATCCTCTCCGTCTATTGCCTGCTCCACTTTTAAAAAAATGTCTCTCTTCATGACATCACAAAGGGCAGTACCCCTCCCCCAGGTGGGTGACACTCCCACAGCTAGGTGTTTGTTCTGCCCGCTGAGTCTGCCTTCTCACCATAAACAATAGGACATGGAGTGAGATAGCCCGAACCACACGAGTCCTTCCAGAGAGGGGGCGTGGTCAGATACAGCACATTTACATTTAAAGGTACAGACACAGAAACAGTCTGTTCTGAGCAGGGCTGAAATAGAGGGGTTTATAGACATGATCAAATACAGGATCAGAGTGGATTTAGAACAAGTAACTTCACACACATGTTTTGAGGAGCTCTGAGACTTATTTACACTGGTTGAAGAGGAGGACCAAAGGAGGACCAAACCAGGTTTCTCTCCTTTGTGAGGTATTTCTGTAGTCTAACTACAAACTGGCAGCATGCTAATCTTTTCCTTTGCTTCCCTCACACTGGCTGTAACAAAGAAAAGAAGGTTGGTGATCGACTATGTTCCTACCTGAATGTCACTGTGTGCTTGTTAACAAGCACGGCTGTCTTTGAAATGAACACTTTCCTTTCAGCCGTCCGTGTTACCTGCAGTGAACCTGCAGCTGAAAAAAAAAAAGACTGAGAGGATGTGCTGACTCACCTTCCCAAAGACGAAGCAGTAGAGAGTAACTCCCATGGCCCACACGTCCAGTGCCTTTAAATAAGGGACATTAAAGGTGACATGAAGCCAAACGAACATTTGAAAAAACACACTGCTGTGATCCAAACACCTACTTTACACAAACAAACACTGTGACCTTAATCGGTGCCGACTGCCTTAGGGTGATTTATGGCACATACAAGGTTCTTATTCTGGGGATGCGTACCGGCTAATACCTCGCAGATGGATGTGTGTGATCAGATAGTGGAGACACTGCAGCTATCCATCAGGCTCTTTTGTCTCCTCTCAGCCCGACTCTCCTAGAAATCCATTTCTACTCCCTGATAGATATGAAATGATAGAAGCTGCCCTCTGAACCTCCGAAAGCCATCTCAGAGCCACACACGTTTGTTTTCAGCACGATGCTGGATGACTAACGAGTACTAATGGCCTGAGGTACCACTGAGGCTGAGCACTGAGGGGGTTTAAGTGACATACGAGTGCCTGACATTAAATATTTCAGTACTGATCAGATGTGGACAAAGTAAAAAACACTCTTTACAAAATTACACCAACTCAACACGTTTCCTGAAGTAGACCTGAAAGAGTGCGACTGAAATCCTTTTTACCGAGCGTTTCTGTGCGGAGGAAGCTGGTGATCATGCTTGGATAATTTTCTCTTTTCAAATACAAAACATACTGAAGATCATTTACTTCCACATTGCTTCACCGGTAGGATGAGCTAAACTGGGATTGTTTTACTTCCTGTTGCTGTTTTTTTTAATGCACGGCCACCTCTCCCTCTACCTGCTGCACACCTGAGTGCACACTGTGCTCAGAGAGAAGGAGGGGGATTCAGAGGATCCAGGTAGGAGAGACAGGGGCACACACACTCTGGGCAGCGATGCTATGAGGAGCTTTTGGGTTTTTCTATTTTTTGAGATCGGACAGACGATAGAGACGGAAATCGGGGAGAGCTAAAGAGCGGGGAATGACATGCAGGAAAGGAGCCAGAGGTCTGTACATGGGTTGCACGCACTAACCACTACGTTACCGGCGCCCCTGGTGGAGAGGAGCTTTTATTCCCCATTTTTATTTTTCCCTATCTCGGTTTCTGTTTTTCCTCAGGCAGGTTTAGATTGCTGGTTTTTGTTGTTTAAGTTTGAGCTGGAGATCACCTGTAGTCCTATTTTCAGTCTTTTCGTTTCTTCAGGTTAATCTTTTTCTTTTGTGGAGATGCCAAGAGTGACGGCCCATTACATGGTTGGCTGGGCACCTTCGCATCTTGTGTTCTTTTTGGAAGGGGTCTCCAGCCCCCTTTCTGTTTCTTTGGTTTCTTATTTATTCTTGATTACTTTGGGCGGGAATCTAAATCTGTGTCGTGTCCTAGTATGCATTTCGGTCTCTATGTTTTGAGCCTTGACTTAATTATTTTGCATAAGGAGGAAGTGTGCAACAGAACCGCTAGATCAGTGGTACTCAGCCTTGTTGGACTTAAGAGCCACATTGACCAAAAAATATTTCTGCAAGAGCCACAATCAAAAAACCTCTTTCTTTCCTAAAATATGTGTGGGAAACACAGTGACATGACTTGCAAAGAATAATTTTTGCTGACAGTGTTTCCCTTTTCTAAATAATTACTTTGGATTTTTGTTTTTCTAAGTAGGACCTAAAAAAGCCACAACTAGTCCCAAATGAGCCACATGTGGCTCAAGAGCCTCAGGTTGAGTATCACTACGATCGACTATCTGGTAAATCGACTGCCATATTCAACACTAAGCAAAGAGTGCATGTTTGAAACAGAGTGCACACTTATTTAAGTACATAAACAAACTTTTTGTTCTTATTCTCTTCCCACTCCGCTACTGATTTCCACCCTCATCACACATGTTGATGAATAAATAACTCTTCAGGGATTGAACAGGATGAAGCAGACTAATGAGAGAAAAAGCAGCTGATATAATGACTGCATGTGTCTTTTGAAAGCTCAAGGAAACAGCAGGATGGGGCACTTGAATGCCTCTCACATCCTCTCTGTATGCAATACAATAACACTCTCTGACTCTCCTTTTTGAAGTCACACAATGTCTTTATGTTGACTAATCCAATCGTTGAAAACCAATGGAGGAACAGTTACACAACCCACCAATAATATGTGATATTAGAGACGATGTCAGGGTTAAGACTGAGGGCTCAAACAGGAACACCTTTGGTTGTTTGTTGTTTGAAAATCAATTATTAGTCAGAGCTGATTCACACGCCTCAAAAGATGTTTAATTATGCAAGAATAACGGAGGAAGTACGTCAAATGTGGAGGGAGGAGGTCGCCAGTCCGATCGTTATGAGGAGTGGCGTTCTGCTCGACAAACATGACTGATCATTATTTAACTGTACAACCAAGAAGAGCTTAATGATGATGGAAACGTTCACAAAATCAATATCAGCTTTTTAAAACTAAAAGACCATTATCTGACTTTAGTGAAGGTGCTGTTCTCAGCTGGATTAATAAATAATAAGAACCAGCTCACACACAAAAACAAAGACGATAATCAAACTCATCTTTGTTTCTAATGGTTCTCAGTTAAAGGAGCAGTATGTAACTCTGACACCTAGTGTTTAAAATGGGTACTGCAGTCTAAATTCTAAACATTGCAGAGAGCTGTCTCCCCCCGCCCCCTCCTCTCTAGAGTCGATGCTCACACAGGTTGCCATGTGGTGAACACTGAAGCTTCAGTGTTTATCCAGCTCTGCATCGGTCTGTAAACCTTTCTGTGTTCTAACCTCTCTCCATTTTTCAAAAGCATCTCCAATATTGATCCTAGTTTGAGCACGTTTCTGCTCGTGGAGCTTATTAGAAACATGCAGAGGCTTTTTAGGTCGGGTACAATCACTTCTATCTGAACCACTTCTCTTGCCCGCTTCTATCGCTGCAACACCTGTTGACCTGATAACTGCTCTCATATCTGGCAAATCGAGGAGCGACCAAAACGGTTGTCCAGAGCATTCAGGACCAGAATCTAAAGTTAGAAGGAGGACATACTGGCTGCTGCATTGTTGTCAGAGAAGCCAGCACTTCAACATAGCATGTTTCCTTAATGTCTGATCATATAGTAAGGTCACTTTATCATTTCACTCACTCACATCTCACTGATTGGATCTTTAAACTCATGGGATTAAGGCTTACATCAGCTGCTTTAACCAGAGGCAGAGATGAAGCTTAGCTTTTACATTTTTCAATATAAATAAAGAGTTCACTTACCTTCCCACTGAAGCTCTTCCGTGTGTCTGACAGCGTCTCTGGTGCCATAAAGGCAGGAGTGCCAGCAGTGCCGGACAGCAGCGCATCGTTGCCCTCAAACTGGTTGCTGACCCCGAAGTCTGCTATTTTCACATGACCATCGTCCCCCAGTAACAAGTTCGAAGGTTTGATGTCCCTGTGGACGATCTTCTGGTAGTGCACTGAGGACAAGACAGAGGAATAAACAATCGCCCGCCATAATCTGTTACTGTGGTGATAATTAAATATGTTCAGAACTCCTGAGGCAGAGGGATACACAAAGTAAAACTTAACACCTTGGGCAGCGACGTGGTGAGAAGATTTTGTTCCCCATTTTTACTTTTCCCTATCTCGGTTTCTGTTTTTCATGTCCATATTGTTGGGTTTTCTTATTTTAGTTTGGGCTAGAGATCACAGCTGGACCTATTTTCTGTCTTTTTGTTTCTCCAGGTGATTTTTTTCTTCTCCGGTTGTTTTAGGGGAGCGATGACCTAAAACGAGTTTGGCTCGGCGCCTTCCCATCTGTTGTTCTTTTTGGCCAGGGTGGAATTTTCCTTAAAAATAAATCTCAGGGTTCATACCTTAAAAAAACCTGCGGTGCCCCATGTGTTTTCTGGTCCTCCTTTTTCTTGAGCCATTGTGTTTAACTGTGACCGGAGGGAGGATGTAACACCTGCACGCAGCCAATGGCCACTGAATTATAGTAGACAACACTCTTTGATAAACAACTTAAACCATTCTGCATTTTTATATATGTAGCGTCATTCTGGTCATCAGTTGTATAGATCAGGAGTTCCCAAACTTTGTTATGCTGAGGATCACTTTAAAGCATTAGCCTCTGCAGCAGGGACCCCCCTCAATGGTGCAATGCATCCTGGTAACTGTATGCTGCTTTTACCTCTTTACCCCTCTTGGTCAATTTTATGTGCAAAAAGCAATCTGAGGCTTCGACTGACTACGGTCAATCTTGATCGACATCTACATGACACATTTCCTTCGACCACAGCAACAGCACCCAATTTATCACAGCGGAATACCAATAACGTGTGAAATAATCGAAGCAGTGTTGTTGGAAACAGCGTTTGATTGCTGTTTGTCAAAGCACTTTGTAAACCTGTGTTTTTAAAAGGTGCTATATAAATAAAGTTATTATTATTATTATTGTCTTTGAGGAGAAGGAAGAATCAATTTAACCCTTTGAAGTCTGATAGTTTTTCATTTAAGCACAATTCTGTGTCTCTATACCTCATATGAAAACACATGAGGAAGTCTACAGGATTTATTTTTCAAATGGGTCATCCATAATTAAAGTAGCAGAAAATATAGCTGATACTCCACAGTAAACTGCTTTAAAATTTTATTTTGTTGAACGGTGTAATAAACACAACTGTTGAGCTAAACGTGTCAGCTTGTGCACCCTAACCCATCCTGTGAGTCTCTGCGGTATTATCTGGAAGACGGAGCTCAGAGAGGCAGCATTGATCTCTAATCATTAGGCTCATAGCTCAGTGAAATGGATCTGGTGCAGTAAATGAGGACACGGCTCGAGGAAACCATTTCAGCGTAGGGAGGCTCGATACTGATGAAGGGGACGACACGCGTCTGCAGCCAGACCTCGAGGGGCGGAAAAAAAGACGGTCAAGAACACTTTGTTCTTTTAAAAAAAAAAAGGAAACACAATCATCGCTTTAAAGAGCAGGGGGAGAGCATGATGTTAGAAGACTTCTACACTTTGAGCATCAGAGGGGACATGATAACTTTAGAAACAGATCAATGTAATAACTGTATGTAGCGCTATCCTCGGGGGAATGGGTGGAGCACAACATTTCAGTGAAACACTTCACAGGTATGTTTCACAGCCTCAGAGACAGGCCTCGTTCCGCATGAGATACTCACAGTACTCTATGCCAAGGATGACGTCTCTGAAGTACAACCTGGCCTGCTCCTCCGACAGAGGACTGTCTGTGGGCACTTCCATCACCGGGCTGGAAACCCATGCAGGCAGGTCAGTGAGGCAGAAACAGAGAGACAAACACAAAGAGAGAGAGAGAGAGAGTGTGGGGTGGACAAATCTTCAGATTACATGGATCAGTTGTTTTATTAGCACAAAAATGTGTATTCCAAATGCAGAAACGTATGTAAACAGACTGTAACATCCTGATCAAAATATGTGACTGAGACTTTGTCTTTCCCGTGTAGACCTCAAACCCATCTGTACCAGAGCCAGTTTGGTGTCTTTATAGTCCAAGGCACGGTATTTCAAAAGACCTGTAAGTCAGTCAGGACTCTCATTCAAAGATTGAGATATAGTCTCAGTGATCATCAGTGTGTTGGGCTAAATCTCGATTTCCTCCCCAAACCCTGAGCCCTTACAGACTTAATCGACGTCACCTGGAAAGTGATTTTGTGCACGAGGCTGCTGTGGTTTAATACCAACGGGACAGCACTTTGCGACTTCTCTGTAACCATGACAGCACAATGTCATGTAGCATTAGGCATTATGTCTTACTTTACTCACTTTTTGGGTTAGTCCTTTTCTCCTTGTTTTTAACCTGTACTGCTGTAATACTGCAGTATCCTAACGTTACCATGAAAAGCATAAAAAAAAATACTGTGTCAGTGTGTTAGAAGCTCAGGAGGCCTCGTCCCGGCAGCAGAAGCCAGGCTCTCGAGTATAGACGGAGCTCCCCCAACCTTCAGCGAAGTGATGGGGCACTGCACCCAGCCCCCACCATCAGACTGTGTCGCCCCCACAACCACCGCCATCCTCATTCATGCACGGCCTGCTCTGACCTCCACCTCAGCGGCAAGGAAGTGTAGACTCCCTGCATATTGTCCCGTCATGATTGATTGATTATGAATCTCAGATCGTGCACCACTAGTAGAACCTGTCCTGAGGCAAGTAGAATCAGTAAGCAGCTGTGGAGTTTTATGATGAGTGAGAAGAATCCAAATCAGGCAGCTGCTCTGTATTAATCAGTGTCTATCATCTCTCTCTCAGGGGCAACAAGAGAGCAAAAGTTCCCTCTCATTCTTTAAAAAAAGCGTACAAATAGAGCCAACCTTCTTATTAAAAAGGAGAACATGACTTATTAAAGCACATTTGTGTAATGATACCAGCTGCCCCCTCCCTCCTCCAGACTCCTATAATAATAATAACTAAAGGTCCCCGATCATTAGATCATCGCAGATTTTTGAGCGGTGTAGGAAGGAACAGCTCGTGCATCAAGACGTGAAACATTTACACGGCCGACTGCCACCGCCGACAGCAATGGAAACCTGAGAACATTATGAACTCCTTTGAAGCCTGTGATGAAATAAACAGCAGCATGGTGTCAGCTCGGAGTGATGAAGGAGAGGAGGAGAGGAGAAAGGAGGAGAGGAGGATGAAGGAGAGGAGAGGAGGATGAAGAAAGACAGAATGGTGCGGATGGAGGAGATGCGGAGGAAGGAGAGGATGAAGAAGGAGAGGAGAGAGGGGGGAGGAGGATGAAGAAGGAGAGGAGAGGAGGATGAGGAAGGAGAGGAGAATGAAGGAGGAGAGGAGGATGAGGAAGGCGAGGAGGGTGAAGAAGGAGAGGGGGATGAAGGAGAAGGAGAGGAGGAGAGAAGGATGAAGAAGGAGGAGAGGAGGATGAAGAAGGAGAGGAGAGAGGGGGAGGAGGATGAAGGAGAGGAGAGGAGGATGAGGAAGGAGAGGAGAATGAAGGAGGAGAGAGGATGAGGAAGGAGAGGGGGATGAAGGAGAAGGAGAGAAGGAGAGGGGGATGAAGGAGAAGGAGAGGAGGAGGGAGGATGAAGAAGGAGAGGAGAGGAGGATGAAGAAGGAGAGGAGAGAGGGGAGGAGGATGAAGAAGAAGAGAAGAGGAGGATGAGGAAGGAGAGGAGAATGAAGGAGGAGGAGGATGAGGAAGGAGAGGAGGGTGAAGAAGAGAGGGGGATGAAGGAGGAGAGGAGGAGAGAAGATGAAGAAGGAGGAGAGGAGATGATCAAGGAGGAGATGGGGATGAGGAAGGAGAAGAGGGTGAAGAAGGAGAGGAGGATGAAGGAGAAGGAGAGGAGGATGAGGAAGGAGGAGAGGAGGATGAAAAGGGAAAGGAGGATGACAAAGGAGAGGAGGATTAGGAAGGAGGAGAGGAGGGTGAAAAGGGAGAGGTGGATGAAATGCGGAGGTGAAGTTAGAGGAACAGGAGGGGGTGAGCTTTTTAATTATTTAAAAAAGAGAATGTTCTCTACTCACCCTTTACGCATAAGCTCAAAAACTGTCAGAAAGAAGAAAGAAGAGGGAGAAAAGGAAACATAAGACCGAGCATGTTATACATCTATTCATGCAGCGGGCTCTGACCCACTGCTAGCATCACATTATTCCTTTAAACTATCATTCAATTAGCTTCAAGCGTCACATTAAGCACATAAAGACTGACATTTCACACTAACAGGCGTCTGCAGTATGTGACCTGGCATCGCTGATGGAACATCTCTGCATAATGTCTGAGCCCTGAAGTGATTATTCAAGAGATGGTCTGAATTATGAAGAAGCCATATGGACACTCATCCCTGTCATGTGTGTCACAGGGGGCGACAACAGAGTGAAAGATGTGCATACCCATGTGGAGGTTGTCCTCTGCAGGATCATCCAGCACCTGGAACATTTACATAACCATCATTAAAGCAGACAAGCCGTTTCAAACCTCAAGGTCCTGTATTCAAGTGCAGGTAGGTGTGCAAACTATCAAAACTAACATTACTTCTTATGTGAGGGGTGTAAAGAGCGGACAGGATGCATTCACGCTGAATCTTTTCTTCCTTTTTAAAGGACTAAGCAGGACTAATAAGAGCTTTAGAACGTCTCGAACACAACCTTTTAGCTTTTCACTTTATGTTCCTATGAACACTAGACAATCTTAAGAGTGAGGACATTGAGGGAGGAGGTGATGTTTGATAGACTTAAGGATTTCAGTGATATTTATTGTTTTGGTCTCCATGCACTCTGGTCTTGGTTAGTATGGTAACCAGGAGGAAAAATCTAACTACAAATGATTTAAAGTAATATGTTCTTTTAGAAAGAGGCGTTTTACTATGATAAGCTATGGAAAACTAGCCGATCAGTGGTGGTCTTGATATAAAATCTGGAATCCGCCCAGACTGAGAACGAGACAAGGGAGAGTAAAAATGCTTTCAATTCTGAAACGAGGCCAAGACCTACAAAAAGTGGTCTCGAGATCAAGACCGATTTGGAGAACTACAGGACAACATGTGACCTTTAAAATACTTGCCACAGTCAATAAGTTGGTGTATACTCACACTGTCTCAAAATCAAAACTGTTCCTTTTAATTTCTGTGTACAACCAGAATAATATAAAGAATAACTGAGCTGACTTTGTATGCAAAGACAAATCCAGTACTAGCTTCATACTTTCCTCTGCAGCTGTCTGCTAAAGCTCAGACAAAGACGTGTTCGAAAGGAGTCTTGACTTATGTTGAAGAGCACGTTAATTGAGCTTGGGAAGTTAAAGTGTCCACTCTGATATTAGCTAATATCCGGGCTAATATAGATAGATAGATTTACTTTATTGATCCCCGTGAGGGAAAATTTCAGTTTTTACACTCTGTACTCATGCAACACACATAGGCTGAAGTATATACATACATGCACACAAACAGGATCATATGGACATGCACTAATGGAAAGATGTCAGAGTGACGGAGCTGCTCACTGCGGGCGCTCCTGAGCTGATGGTGGGGAGGAGGTTTGGTGCCTTGCTCAAGGGCACCTCGGCTACCAGACCAACTTCCAAACATGGTCTGCACCGGGACTTGAACCGGCGACCCTCCGGTTCCCAACCCAAGTCCCTACAGACTGAGCTACTGCTGCCCCATCACCCAGCTAATATGGAGCTGGTTTCACTGTCTCTCCCCCACCATCTGTGACAAATGACCACAACACTCTCATCAGTTTTAATCTGTTCCACTCTACGTCTGCCTTAATGGTTCCAACCCAAGAGAAAAAGTCCATTCTTAATTGGAAGGACTGGGCTGCAGCCTCACAGGGATCGGTTGGGAGGAAAGCGGCGCCTGTTTAAACGGACGAACAGAGAGAGGCAGGTTCTCTCCCGTCACCCACACATCCCCATTATGAGAGGGGATCTGAGGGCGGACAAAAGAGGTAAAGGGATGAGAGTTTCTGCACAAAGTACAAAGCATTTTACTCAAAAACTCTTTTATATTTTTTGCCACATCATGCTTCAGAAAGCCAGACAGCTTTCCTTTCCTTCTGACTGCCTCCCCGAGCTTAACGCCTGACAATGACATCAGTGCCCCCGCCATCTGGTCGAGATTGAAAAACACTCTGATGGCATTGCGAGGGAGCGGCGGGCATCTTGTGTCACGTCTTCAAATGGGCTTTCATTTTTCACAAACAACCGCCTCTGCCGAGAGCGACAGTCTATCCTTCTTTAAACGTCCCCAACGCAGTTTGAGAGCGCCGTCTGCCGTGAAGAACAATCCATTCACAGGAAGCTTCGTTTTCTTTCTTTCGAGAATATAACCTTAACATCATAAATGTTCAGTGATAGAAGTGTGATGACAGATGTCTCGAAGGTTAAACCCATCTTATTTTCACGTGTACTGACGGGTGTTATCCACCTTTTGTGTCGGACACAAACGGATATGAAGAATGGACAAAGCATGAGCCAGGGCGCACAGAGGGAAAGGCCATCATGAGATGGAGCGATGAAGTCTAATCCTGACCACAAAGGTTAATAAACCTGTGGTGGAAGTCCACATGCTTTAATCAGAGCTATGAAGAGACAATTTCCTGCTGCAAGAAACAGTTTTTCATTTAACCCTAAAGGCAGGGTGACCATATTTTCAGACCTCCAAATAGAACACTGTAATTTGAACAAAAACCTACATGTACGAGCTCATGGTACAACTGTTTTTTGGATGGAACAGCATGGAGCAACAACATGGTGTCTCCCAAGAGGAACCAAAACCTTATTTGAAAAATTTAATTATGTAACACAAAGGATTGCATTGGTGTAATACATAGGCTCTGCTTGCCAACAGGCAAGGCAGGCAACCGCTTTGGGCCCCAGACCAGGTTACCCCAGAGGCCAGACAAAATTTAAACCCATAATGCAGCCACCCATAATGTGCAAATTTTGCAATGATAGTAGCAAACCTCCAAAAGGGGGCTCCATCTGACAGCACTCACTCTCATTGCCCTGCTGAACACTGGTAGGAAGTCCCCCCAACTGATTTTTGTCTTGGGCCCCAATGGACTCTGCAATCGCCACTGGTGTAATAGAACATATTCAGTTTACTATAATCAGATCCCTGACCTGCACTGGTGACACACGGCCGTGGGTAGAGACGCCCTCCTCCTGAGCAGCTCTTTGTCACCGGCGTTTGCCTCACTGAAGTAAATCAAATGGGTTCTATTTCCGTCCTGTATACACGGTTTGTGTTTGCTCATTTTAATGTCTTTGTATGTCGGCATTTTCACCGTTGGCGACTGAAAATGGACACTTGCAGTGTGTACAAAAAGCAGCGTATTCATCACCTGGTATGTTTCAAAAGAAGATGTAATTGCCTGGAGCATCTTTGGAAAACGGCATGACAGCTAGCTTGCCTGTCATTACATATCAGCTTCTGTTGGTATGATAAGCTATTCTGGCAAAGCAACAACCACAACCCTGAGACAGATTGACACATGAACAGACAAATCAGTATTGAGTCGTTACTCAAGGTGCATTAGTGATGTTTCTCTATTGGTTAAAAAAGCAGCAGCCTTGGATAGGACATTGAGTGACATACAAACAAATCAGTACTGTAAGAATGGTGTATTGTTTTGGTTGGTTAACTCCGGGACAAGGACTGTTCAGAACCGGGAAATATTAGTGTTTTATAGATAATTGTGGGGACTCGGGACACAGTGCTTGAGAACAAAAAGGTCCCAGTCAAACCAGGACAGATGGTCACCCTATGGTTCTCCAAACAAAAGAAATATAAGTGTAGAACAGTGTTCACTGCAGACTGTGCATGAAAGTCATGTACCAGGACAAAGAGGCTGAAGCCATGCTGGCAGCTCTGTAAGGCTGCTCCAGGAGCAAACTCAACGTATCGTGTTAAACATGCAGACCATGCGAACGCTAACACGTTTAGCAGGTACAATGTTTACCATGTTAAGGATTAGCAAAGGCTAATATTTGCGATTAGTGTATAGAGCGTTGGATGTTTGTTTTTCTGTGCTCGTTATTCAAGCGTGCAGTCTGCATTAATGTACAGCGACTTCAACACGTGCAAAAGGAGACGCTTTTAAAATACCCTTTAAGTTTTGTACAAGGAGGTATGGACATGGACCAAAGGGCAAATATCGGTATCGTTTGTCATGCCTTATTTTAATATGTTGTAAAGTACATAGTCTAGATCAGTTGTTTCCAATCTTTTGGTGACTCCCCATCACCCCTAACCCTAAGAAAAGCCCTAAATCAAATAATTAACTCAATAAAAAAACACTACCCTACCTTCTTTGACAGCAACAGGACAAATGCACTAACTAGTCACTACTCAATGAAAGGCAGCACAATGACTCTTTCTGTTACTCTCACCTCCACCAGCTTAACAATGTTGACATGGTCCAGTTTCTTAAGGATCGCGATCTCTTGATAAACCCTCTCCAGGGGTCCGAGGATCTTCGGCTGCTCTCCCTGTGCTGCTTTGGGTCCTCTCGGTGGTGGGCGACCTGCAGACGCAAACACATTAATGCCATGGTACCAAACAAGTTCAGTTTTAACAGTGTTGATACATCAAGTGGCGGACAAGGTAACAACTCCAGGATAGGGAGGGTTTTCCTGTTTGTTTCTTTTTTACTTATTTGCACTTAATCTTGTATCTGACAAATTCTGTATTTTTCTGGCATTCAAACATGAAACACCATCATGGCAGTGTTTGTGGCTGAGATCATGTTACTCCCTGGTTAACAGCCTTGGTAAGCACTCATACACAGTGAGTTTTGTGAGTACAAGGCCAAATAAGTCTCTTCCAACAGTTTTTTCTCCGAGCAGATTTTCTCTAATCTTACTGACCTTGTTGTGTTTCATTGTTCCATAATTATTGATTGATTATTTAATGCAGTGCTTTTCAGCTTTTTCTGAGAAGTTTTGAGAAATTGTGATGAGAAAAGTCCATCCTCTCTGTCTTCTGCCAGCTCCACTTTTCAGAAAATGTGTGCTCAAACAGGCCGATTGGAGATTTTCCCTTCATTACATCACAAAGGGCAGTAACCCCTCCCCCAGGTGGGTGACACTCCCACAGCTAGGTGTTTGGTCTGCCCTCTGAGTCTGCCTTTTCACCGAAAAAATAGGTCCTTCCAGAGAGGGGGCGTGGTCAGACACAGCTCATTTACATTTAAAGGTACAGACACAGAAACAGCCTGTTCTGAGCAGGGCTGAACTAGAGGGGTTTATAGACATGATCAAATACAGGATCAGAGTGGGTTTAGAGCAAGAAACTTCACACACATGCTTTGAGGAGCTCTGAGACTTATTTAAACTGGTTGAAGAGGAGGAGGATATGTGACCTTTAATGAACAATGTAGGAGTTTGGACCTCAGTTTGTACAAAACACGTGACAGAACAAACAGATGGAACAAAACAAACGGTTTTAAAAAGCACTTCTTAGACGTTTTGACACATTTATTTCCATTCACAACCCACTGAAAACAACTTCATGACCAACCTTTGGGAAAGAAAGGACTTACGTGGAAAACCACACTGCTTCATCAGCTTCTTCTTGGACACCACCTTCATGGCCTAGGAAAGTGGAAATGTGTTTTCATTACACACAGAGAAAAGACAACCACAGTTACAAGAACTTATATCAATAAAAGGAACTTTCAGTTAAAGGAAAAATGTGCAACTTTTTGTTCCAGTAGATGTCACCCTTGAGCTCCAGCATTAAACCAAAACAAACTGATGTTTTGGCCACACCGAACGCACGTTCACCTTTATGGTAAATGGACTGTATATTTCTCTTCTAGTCTTCTGTCTATTCAAAGAGCTTTTTCACCGGAAGTCACACCTACACATTCACATACTGATGGTAGAGGCTGCTGAGTAACGACTCCATCAGTATTAACTCATCCATTCATACGCCACTGATTAAGCAGGGGGAGCAACTTAGGGTTAAGTGTCTTGCCCAAGGACACGTTGGACATGTGGCCGCAGGAGCTGGGGATGGGAACCCCAAACCCTTCAAGGATGCAGCCACAGCTGCCCTTGTGTTCACATTGTCACATTATGTTCACTTTGGCAGTGTAAGTAGAAGCCTATGTCCGATTCCGCACACAAAAGGAGGAAACGTCCTCTCCATTCCTTCCTGCCATTGGCCTCACCGGCAGAAAACAACCGGATAGTTTAAACACATTCTCTTGTAATCATCCAGGCCATCTGTCAGTCTCCATGCTCCAAACAATATCTCCTTCTCATTGTCAGCGTCCCTCATGGCAGCAGGACGGATGCATTCTTCTTCCTGTTGAGTTTCACAGTCATGCCACACACACCTTTTGTCGCCTCAGCCCCACAGGTAGGAAGTCATGGTGGTGCTGCATGATACCTGCTCACCTCAGGTAATAAAGAGGAAGACGCCGTGGTGCCTTTCTCATCTTCTGTGTTACCATCCCTCCACTTTTCCACATAAAGAGAAACTCCAAAAGCCTTGCACATTTTCTCTTTCATCAAACATAAAATAATAGTTCAGTCATAATTAAGTCTGTCCTGATTGAATTAAGATAACAAAGAAAACAGCTGATGTTGGACTCCAGCTTAATCTTCACTAGATAAAAATCTAGATATTGAGTTTTAGTTTGAGTTTAGGCAAGTAGAATAACATTCAATGTAGATCAGACACACTCACGATGTTTACTGTTTTTTTCACCATGACAATAGTCACAATGCTAAGACAACAAATAATACCTGACAATGGTTCAAATGATGACAAATATGGCCAAGACATTTAGGGATCTAGACCGAGTCAAGGCCAAGGCAGGACGAGACCAAGACCATAAATATCAATGAAAAATCCTCATCTTGTGTTTAGGGGGCGTGCCACTCACTTAGACCGTAACAACGGGAAGGTTGTGACAGTTACCAGGAGATAAATATCTAACTATGAATGAATTGAGGTTATGCCTTCTTTTACAAAGAGGCATTTTCCTTCTAATGATGAAAGTAGCCGGTCAGTGGAGGTCTTGATTTAAAATCCGGAGTCTGCCCAGTCCAGGACCGAGACAAGAACAAGTCAAAATGCTGTAGATTCCGAGACAAGACCTTCAGAAAGTGGTCTCCAGACCGGTCTTGAGACCAGGACTGATTTCGAGTACTATAATACTAGACAAAGATCATCAGGCATCATCCCTCGCATCATATCCAAAACACATTAGAATCTAAACTGCTAATGAAAAGCAAAAATGCATGGACGCATTATGAAACCACACAACATAAGCCTCTGTTGTCCCGAGAGTTTCCTTCCTATGTGTGGTTTCTTTGTGGGTGCCATGATATTTGTACATACTGTACGTGGGCTCGGGCTGCAGCTGCTCCCCGTACAAGAATCCAATCCATTTAGTCTGAAACCGACTCAGACTGCCAGGAAATGGAATCAGCCATCCATGCATCCATTACTCATCTCCTCCTCTGATTCCTTTTTTCAGAACTATCTCTCATTCAGTCAACCTGTAACGACCCGCAGTCTGTCCAGGAAGGTTACATTTTACATCATCGTCAACAATCAGCATCAAATACAGAAATGCTTCCGAAACTAAAAAGCATAAAATTACAATATGTAGATATGTTATATATTATCACAACATCAACAGCCTGGAAGGTTTGAGGTTCGATCCTCAGCTCCTGCAGACACATGTCCAATGCATCCTTGGGCAAGACACTTAACCCCAAGTTGCTCCCGCTGCTTGGGGTGTGAATGTGTAGGTGTGACCTGCGGTCTAAAAGCGCTTTGAGTAGTCAGAGGGCTAGAAAAGAACGATACAAGCTCAAGTCCACTTACTATTTACATGCAGAGAAAACATGGACGCTTTACATATTCTGAACACACAGAGATCCAACAGCTTGAGGAGGATGAAGAATGAGTTGCTCTGGATTTATCTTAATCCATGGATTTCATGTTTGGGATTTTGTGGTTTAAGATCGAGCGATTCTGAAAGTCAGAAAATCTCAGTCCAATTGCTCGTGGAAATGGACCCTCATTTACATGTTGATGCTCTCTATCTGAAATATGTTCATACACTTCTAATTACCTGTGCAGAGCATGTGAAAATATGACATTGATGTTTTCCATGTAACGTTTTAAGTCAAGTTTCTGCCTCCCACAGATGACAAGATTTTTCCTCTTCTCAGTAGAATAAATGAGTGAGAAATGAATCCACTGCTTCTTGTTTGTTTTGCTTGATTTACAAAATCTGTTGTTGTTGTACTTTAATGCAATCAGTGTGCCCACTTTTCTCAACAGCCAGCAGTAATGCTCTGTTTCTTTTCTCCTGAATTTACTCTTGTTTCCATTTTTCTTCATTTTAAGCACAAACTGAAAAATGAGCAGGTTAAAAACAGAGTGGAGAATATTATTGTATTGACACCGGGGACGTGCTCAGGATTTTAGAGCAGCAGGCGCTCAAATTCAGAAAATAGCTTTTATTTCCATTTAAAGACAGAGCCAGTAGCTTTTAATTAAAATGACAAAATACAGATTTATACAAAAGTAAAGCTGCTCCATCGTCCCTTCTGGGCCTTCATACATGTGTGGTGGTGACTGTGTCTGTAGAGACCCTGTCATCTGACGGGATTTCATGTTTTGGTTTGTGTTGGTTGACTCGGGACATTTCTGTGTCCAAAAAGTTGCACTTGAACACACCGCCAAGACTACAGCCGACGGCCAACCACCACGTACGTTCTGAGCATGAGTGAGAGGAAATAACTCTCCATGCCAGCAGGGGGCAGTAGTCTGTTGTTATGATACGAGAAGACCATTTTCACACCGCTGTCGCTCACCACTCGTATTATAGGTAGTCTACTAATGGAGAATAAGGTCTGATGAAAAGTTGATAATGGCGCTGGCGTTGTCAGCCCTCGGTCTTTTAGTGGAAAAAGAAAAGACGAGTGGGAGGAGACAAATAAGGAGAAACCGCAATAATGGATGAAAGCATGGATACTACAGAGGCATGCTCAAGGGGCTTTACTGAACCTGTGAGGAGAGCTGGAGTTACGAGACCCCCGAACAGCCAATTAGAAAAAGGGAGGACGGGAGGTGACGGAGCCGGTCACACCGCAAAAACTAGGGCGACGACCGCTCACTGATGGTCCAACTGGGACCGATGGCCGACGATCTCATTGGTGTGTCAGGGCCTTTAAATGCCAAATGACATTGGTAACGTATCTGTGCGCCCCACACTTTGATAAGTACTGCCTTCACCAATCCACAGCTGACTAAACATAAGTCTGTTTACTGGAGGACAGTTTGAAGTACAGCTGAAACATAATGAAACATTATCAGTGAATCTTTTCCTGGTTTGCTCCGTGTCAGCTCAGTTAATAAGAGTCATGGTGGTGCTGTGTGACTGAACAGCTCTGCAGGTAAACATTATTTAAAGCAGTATGTCATTATTCCACTCCTGAGGATAAAGGTGTATACATGAACTACCTTGTAACATAATTTCTCCCGTGTCCTCTCATCCTCTTCTGTTATTTAACATTCTGCATCAGCCTGTTTTTCATACTGCATCGTGTTGAGCTCCTGCTGGCTCCGGATCAATAGCAGATCTTTAAGCCATGCAGAGTTGGCAGCTCATGTCGTCATGACTCATCCAAACACTCACATTGTTGTTATTGTAAGGGGCAGCTTAGTTATGTTCAAACATTAAAATGGCTTACATCTGGAGGGGCTGAGTTTACCGAGCTGCTGCAGAAACAAATCACCTTGATGGAAACTGAAATGACCTCATCTCAGCGGGGCGGCTCGCATCCAGAGTCTCCCTCATGAACTGACCTCAAAGCTGCTCTGCACAAAGAATCAGCACCGCTTTGAAGACAGATAATAAAGTCATGGACTTCTGCTGTGGCACCAGAAGTCATTTTCTTTTCCAAGTCTCTTTTTTTCCAAGGAGGCTGATGCAATTTGAAGGGAGGGAACTTGGAACTTGCAGAAAAGAAATAAATCAATAGCGGCGTCGAGAGCTTTTCTGTCAAGACAAAAGAGGCTGAGAGGACTGATGCTGTGCGACGAGGGGGCCGCAATTTGAGTCGGTAATCAGAAAGAAAATGAAAAATGATTGCAGCGACTTACGTAATGTTTGTCATCGTCCTCGTTGTAGGCGAGTTTGACCACACCATAGGAGCCCTGCAACACATCACCGAAGAGACGACTTGTTATATGTGCAAACAGTTCACAGCAAGGAAAGACGGCTTTCTTTATAAAACACATTTCAAAAACAGAAGCAGGCAAAGTCACAGAGTGGATTAATAATAGTAAAGGGGTAAAGAGGTGGCATGACCGACTGTGTGCTGGTGTTGTAGTCAAGACCACAGACTGAGACCCAGATATACCCGAGACCAAGGCAGGACTAGACTGAGACAAGACCAAGCCCAAAAATATCTCTGAAAAATCATCGTCTTGTGTGTCACTCACTTGGTGGTGGCCGTAACCGGGGGATAAAAATCGAATTATCAATTTATTTTAGAAAGAGGAGTTTTCCTTCGAATCCCAGTAATGACGTGGAAAAATAGCTGATCAGTGGTGGTCTTGATTTAAAATCCAGAGTCCGTCCAGTCTGAGACCGAGACAAGGCAGAGTAAAAATGCTTTTGAATCCGAGACGAGACCTTCCAAAAGTGGTCTTGAGACTGGTGTTGAGACTGGTCTTGGTCTTTCGGGTGCTACAACAGTCCTCTGTGCACACACTCTTAACTTGTTTCTTGAGGTCTGTAACATTTGTTTGTACCGACACTTCTTCATCAGACCATGTTCACAGAGCCTCCTCAGCAGTTTTTACAAGGACCTTATCACCTGGTCAAATTCTGTACGGACTGTTTTCTGCATTCACTGGCTTCAGTTTTCAACACCAGAGGGTTGTTGCTTGGTCAAATTCGACTCGTTCTCTCTCCCTGATTTCTGACTCTGTCCTGTCTCTTGAAAAAGGCTTAAAAAGCTAAAAGAAAAAAACCTTAGAAAAAAAGATGTTGAATTAAAAAAATCAAAAGATCCATTAGCTCTGATTGGCAGCAAAGCCCAATAAACTGGAGGGCACAAATATGTGTCTCTGAATCCTCTCGGGACAAGAAACCTCTGACTCTCGTCTTTTCAGTTGTGGAGCTGTTTCAGGTTTTGTATGATCTATATCGAGTCCAAGAATATCTTTTATCTTATCTTGTCAGTCGCTGCCTCTAAGTTGCTGCTTGAGCTCAGTTCTAAGTCTGTGAAATAAATGTATTATTATTTGTCCTTATTGTCTTCAGCTCTGGGATCAGACTGATGAACTTCATTCTCTAATGAAGGTGTCTTGAACTTTTACTTGCTCTAGAGTGCACAACATCACATTATTCCATAATAAGTGATTGTTATTTTTATTTCTTTAGTAAACGGGGTCATGAGCAAACCGGCTGAGGGATTTTGTTTAAACTCCTAAAGCCTCTCTTTGAGAACAGACGGCAGCTCCAGTGTTCATGAAGGCCGCTCAGCTTCCACACAAACACAACATTTATATTCTCTGGTAGCAGAGGAAGGCTCATCCCTCACACAGACACACACAAACAAAGACACATAGAGACACACACACACACACACACAAAAAGATACACAATCTTTGAATTACATCATGCCTTTTGCAGATTTCACTTCTAATATCTTATGTTGATGTTTTTTTGTTCATGCAGGCAACAGGTAAGCTAACATGCTAACTAGAGATCACCACTGTTAGCATTTACCTGCTAACATTGTTTGTGTGCATGCTGGGAATGATTGTCCAATTTTATAACCCTTAAAAGTTAAATTGAGCAAAGGGTCCATTTTCTCTGCTGCAATTTCCCACTCAACAACTGAGCACTCGGAAGAAAACAGACAAACTCACCTTTCCAATCTCGCTCTTCAGCTTGTACTGGTTCAACTGGATACAGTCCTGTGGGGGGGGGACATCATCAACAACAGCTCGGTACAAACATGGAGAATGCTTCAAGGTGGAGCATCTGCATCTTATCTAAATATTGTCTAACAGAGACCTTTGTAAAGCTTTTTTGTATTGTTCTCAGATCTTTTTTTTTTTTTTTTACCTTAATAGAAAGTTTAAAATATATTTTCCTTGTCTAAAGAAATTAATATCTCCAAAATGCATGAACAGATACCATTCAAACTGCATTTGAAACAACCATCTCCCTTTTACAATTCATCAATATTAACAGATAACTCCCACATTTCCTGAGTTGTTGGAGAAGAAAAGGAGAAGCAGGCTTTCATTTTCTAAAGACAAGCAGGAGCACCTCTGGTACACAACGTTTCTGCTAAGTGTGTGTGTGTGTGTGTGTGTGTGTGTACATGTGTTTCAAGTCATTTCTTCCTGAGATGTTGGCAGTGATTCAGTCTGTACTTTCTGTTTACTGTCTGAAAATCCATTAGAGTGCTACTGCTTAAATGGCTGATTTGCAGTTCCATAGCAACCACCTGCTACAGCACAGAGTCGGCCAGGGGCATGGAGGAGGAGAGGCAACCACATCAGGACAGAGAGGGAGGGAGGGGGGGGGAGGTTTTAACAAGGGGTGCTGAGACAAGAAAGTCGATGAGCATGAAGCGAGCATTGAAAGTGTGAAGAGGGAGGGAAAATGGATTTGAGCAAGTCTCTTATTAGCGTTAAGAGGGCGTTAGCTTATGTGCAGGAGCCGGTCCTGTGCCTGAGGCTCGATGCTGTTTGCAGGATGAGAGGAGGCAGTAGATGTAACAAGATGCTGCACCTTCTCACAGTGCAGGGCAGGACTCCATCCACCACCAGGCGGGATATTTTAGAAATATAGCCCCTTACATAATACTCCTGGTTATGCAGCTGGTTCTGAACATTGTTTTTGGTGCTGCAGGAAATGTGAGGGTTTGACGGTGTGAAGTGCTGTGAGCAGGGATTCAATCAAAGGGTAACAGAAAGAATAGTAGATGGAGTTTTTTCCTAGTTGGAGCAAGCGGTGGAATTTAAAAAAAAAAAAAGGATTCTTTGATTGGACGGAGAAAGATGAAAAGAAGAGGAAAATAGGACGGCAAAGGACAAAGAGGAAGTGAAATGAGGAGAATCAAAAGGAAAGAATAGCAAGAGGGATCGAGTGAGAGGACTTCAAGAGTCTCCCCGCACATGCTCAGTGGGCGCTGCATTGCAGTTAATACTCTGTCAGGACTAATGGATAGAGAGGGCCATGCAGAAAGACCTTAAATACATCTGCCTCTCATGCAAATGCACGCACATGCTCAAATGCTTCCGTGGACCTCAGTAAATCTCAAAAGGGCTCTTGGGGTCATTCTGTCACGTGAGACAGTTGTTTGACGTTAACTCTGCAGCCTCCCTCATCTCTAGTCCCTTCACTTCTCACTTCATGTCCTGCACCTTGCACCAAGCACTCCATCTATTACTCAGAAAGCAATCAATACGTGTGCATAACTTATAGATCTGCAGCCACCGCGCTATTCAAAATCAATAACCATGCATTTCATTTTCAGGATAAGTAAAGAACACGCCTGCCTCAGGAAGCATGCATTAAAGAGGGGATTGTTTTTTAAGCCTGTAAATGTAAATACATTTCCCCAACCTGTCATTTTTAAATCAGGTGGATAAATGGTGTTGCACAAGAATCAATCCATCTTACACATAGTTGTATAGAGCTGTCCTTACTGTACTCATTAAAGGACAAAATAATAAATGAACACACACAGACTCAGCTCTGTATGTGTGTCAAGTACCAACTACAGGTGCCAAAAGGTGGAAAAGCAAACCCTTTAACACACTAATGTGCTTTAGAAAAGAAAAAAACACCAATAACAATCTGTGCTTAAAGGAAGAATGTGCAACTTTTTGATCCAGTAGATGTCGCTCTTGAGCTCCAGCATGAAACCAAAACAATCTGCTGTTTGGCCACACCTCCTCCATACTGAAGCCTCCACTCTCCTCCAGAGAAAACACCTCCAACCCCTCTCCCCTCAAGTTCGCATGGAGGTGTTTAGCGCAAGCGGCGGACAAAATTTTGTGATCTAAACACACTGACCCAACATTCAGATAATCAGTGAGTATGTTCTTCTTCTCTCTAGTCCTTGACTAAAACAGCTTTTATACCCGAGAGCCCCACAGACAGTGGACTCCTTTAAAAGGGACTTGAAAACTCTCCTCTTTAAAAGAGTCTTCTCCTAAATACCTTTTCCCTCAAACCTGCTTTTAGATCTTGTTTAATGCTCAGACTCTGAACTCTGTTTTTACCTTTGAGTATTGCTATTGTTTTTATGGTTTTATTGAAATTGTAGCACTTTGAGATTTTCGTTTAAATGTAAAGTGCGTTATAAATAAAATGTATTATTATTATTATAAATATTATTATAAACAAGGAAAGGAGCCGGCATTCCCGTCCATGAAAACACGGCTCTCACAACAACACAGCCAGCAGGACTCGAGCTTCTCACTCATTGTAGACAGTCATGACTCAGAGACACATTTACACAGGAGAGACTGGATTTCTGATTTATTAATGTGTAACATGTTGCACATTCTTCCTTAAAGAAGCTGCCAAAGTTACTAATTTTTAAACGTCTACACTCAGTCGGTTATAACAGATAGACTGAATATAAAGATACAGCTTACAACATGTTTTTTTAGACTCAAGCTCCCTAAGAGAATCATAAACTGGAGCTCTAATAGTGAACGCTCACAGTTCACATTGTTAACGCTGTCAGTTTAGCAGTACAGGGACAGCAGAGACGCTCTGAATACAAAGTGGCCTCGAGTACAGACACAAGCAGAGACGGGTCTCATCAGGGAAGAGCTGCAAAAATCTATTCTGCAAAATAACCCTGCCAAGTGTGCTCTGATTTAGTCTCCTCTCTGCATTAATCTTACTTTTTAATATTTATGTCTCCACTCTGAGCACGCTATCTGACCACACTGGAGGAAAGACCGTAGTGTGAAACAATCCTTCTCAATCTGTCCTCCTTCAGAGGTTTGGTTCACATTCATTGAATCTTATCTTAAAGGTTGCTCACCAATTTGGAATCGTATCTCTTTCCATCCAATTAGGTGTAAATTGTTAAAAACACACCTGCAGTTATTCTAAAGGTTATCATGTTCCTCTGGGGTGTAGCGGTGCTTGGCAGGGAAATCTTTTGCTCTCCAGCTACCAGCTCAGTGATTCCATGTTCTGTCCTGAAAGAGCTGCAGGCTGTTCAGTTTGGATCGTTAGTCTTCATCTTTGCTCACACTGCACACTGACCACACTTCTTACGCTGCCATTATACAGAAATGTGATCCCATTATATAAGAGCAGAGGACGTTAGGAACCATGATTCATTTATGATTAGTGGTGTTGGCTAAAGAAATACAGAAGAGAGCCGATGCTGCACCCAAAGCAGGTACATGAAGGCACTGCAGGCATTGTACGGTAACGCTCTCAGTCAGTAGAGAAGGCACTGAGAAAAGTGATGCATCAATTGACATGCATCTTCTGTAAGTGAACAAATCAGCGCTCCATCAGCATGAGCATGCAGCTTCGCGCTGAGTAAAGGTGCGGGCGGCTTCTCTCCACATTCAGATGCAAAAAAAAGAGAGCAAAATGCACCAAGCAGGACAAAAAGTCAGGTGTGTTTGGCCTGAAAATTATATTATTGCTTACAGGGTCACAAACCCTCCTCTGGTACTTGATTCATGTTATATTTTGACCAGAGCACAGCACAGATGTTTCATTTAGACCACAGGGGACTGTTTGAAAAGGTGGAGAAGGGGGATAATATGTCCTCTTTAAACTATTTTTGCCCAGACAGGAAACAGACACATGAAATCTGTTCTGTACCATGAAGGATTTTTCTCAGGATTTTTTAATCCTTATGAAGTAGGCGTGTCATTAATGTTCACAAGAGACAGAGACGGAGAGTTATCGTCATTTTGTTTACAAAACAGAGTCAATGACAGACAACAAGTGCTATGAGAAAATCAGCTGTGAGAATTAGACAAGTGTCCTGCAACACAGAGAGAAACTGGAGATGTGAGACACGCCTACGATTCAGGTAAAGATTCAGTATACATGTAAGGGGAGTTTATACTCTCCCTATCTCTCGCTCTCTCTGTCACTCTCCCGATCTCTGTCTCCCCCTTTCTCTCTCTGTGTCTCTCCCTTTCTCTTCGTCTCTCTCTCTCTCTCTCTCTCTCTGCAGTGTCATGCTTTTAGCAGTTGGAGCAGGAAAATGCGAGCGACATGAATCCCTTTTTCATGCTGGAGTGATGGAGCTGCAGCTCCTTTTGCAGACAGGAAGGACACAATGACAGGCCTGCCGGTCTGTGGCAGCAGCCTGTTAACTCTACAGGGGTTCCACATCCTGGCAGATATCATGAATTTTTAATGTTCAGTCTGAAAGAAGAAAATGGGAGGCTTCAGGAGTCACCCAGCGCCACAGGGTACTCTCAGGTTTTCTTGGTAACACAAACGTAGGGATGGTTATTTTTCAGCGTACTGATATGGAGAGCTGGGTACATGTCTGTGCGCTCATTTTTAGAGTGGATGTTTTTGAAAAATGATAATCAGAACATTAACTTTAGGTAAATTTGGTTCCTGATAACGTTGTTTAGTTGTATCCAGTTCCCAAATTCAAGTCAGCTGACCTCTTTTGCTCCTGACTCTTTGAAGAGGCGAGGCTGCCGACCCTTTCATTATCTCTTTTTTCACTGACACATCTAAATCATGTGTGATGTTGTCCATGGAGGGAAGAAAAAGGTAGTCCCCTTTCCACTCAGGCTCTTATTGGCTGGAGTAGCCTAGGAACAGTAAATGAAAGGTCCTGATTGGTCAAATGAGGTGTCAATCAAAAGTTAAAGAGGAGGAGGACCGAGTTTGTTAGAGGTTGTAGGCGATGTAGAAGAGGTGATTTTTTGAAGGTGGAGAGTGAGGGGGAGTCTCTGGAGGAGACGGCCCTGTCCCCCCAGGACCCATGGTTAGTCCTGCAGGGGAGGGACAGTGGAGGAGGTTTGCATGAGATCTGAGAGTACGGGTGGAAACCTGCGTGGGGGGAGGCAATCATTTCCAGCCTTACCCCTCACTTTTCTGATGGTTTACTCAGCAACACAATGCTACCCAGAATGCATTTCAAGCCTGCCAGAACATAAATGCTCTCATAATGCAGCACACATCTGCCCACAGTGCGTTCAGTGTTACTGTATACTGTTTGTACATACGAGACGGCAGCTCTGATAACGATGCACGAGAGATATGTTCCATGATGGGTGCTAATAAGAGACTAGTGTGCAAACCCGCTCCTGCTCGCTCCTTCCTTTCATGTTGCACAGCCGGCCTTCTGCTCCTCTTACTTTGGTGATAATGAAGAGCCAGGAGCTACATTTACACTGACCACTGCTTTCATGAGCACAATGGAGCTGCTTTCTCTCTCTCTCTCTCTCTGTGCTGCACTCCCCGCTATGATACCACCTGTCACACCCAACTGCAGAGATTCATCAGCCAAATGTTCTTATTTCAAGATGAACGTTTTAGAAGGTAATTTCTGGTTTTTATTGCTTTTTCTGAACTCCACTTCCCAGACGTGATCATCTCTGGGCATCGACTGCTTCAGTATGTATGTCAGACAACTATGAAAAAATTTAAATTTAACACAAGGCCTTTACAATAATGTGACGCTTATTATTTAAAATAATGTGAACAGATTGCCTCCTCACCTGAGCGTCTGAGATGGACACACGTTTAGACTCCACAGTGGGTCTGCGGGCCACACGAGGGGAGGTGTGTGGGTACCCTCCTCCAGAGCCTGACATGTAAGTGCCTTTCTCCTGCAGAGACAACTTTCTCCCAGTCAGGTGGGGCCGTAGTGGATGAGTCCTCCTGCTCGGAACCCCGTCCCTTTGACCCCCGCCATTCTTAACGCCGTTTGTAGCCGAGCCGTCCGAGTCCTTGGTCGTCATGGCTGCCAGTGTGTCTGTGAGACTGCTGGTCTGTGAGTCTGGGTCTGGGCCCAGCCTCTCACAGACATGGTCACCGCTCATGGCCATGGCCGGTGTGGAAGTGGGAGGAGCCGGAGCAGGTGGATGGAAGAGTACTGGACAGCGCCCAGCAGCATCAACGTGACCTGGGCCAGCCTGTGGCCGCCACGTTCAGGGTCCCACCAGAGCTGCAAGACAGGAAGAGAGGCTGTGAGATTCACATCTACAATATGCACACACAGACCTGAAATACACACAAACGCCCAAACAGGACTCTATGGACTTGCACTGATGGAGAGCTGGCAGAGTGAGGGGGCTGCACATGTAATCCTGTTACATCAGCATTGTGTTCTGGTAATGAATTATGAATCAGGGGACTGTATGTGGGTTCTGGTTCTTTACTTTGGACAGTATGTGGGTTCTGGTTCTTTACGTTGGACTGTATGTGGGTTCTGGTTCTTTACTTTGGACTTAATGTGGGTTCTGGTTCTTTACGTTGGACTGTATGTGGGTTCTGGTTCTTTACTTTGGACTGCTGTACTAACAGAAAGAAATGCAGAAGTCTGTGAGCTGTGTGTGTGTTGTGCGTCCCTCCAAACTCTGCGGGACAAGTAGAATATGATAAGGAGCAGAACAAAACAGTCTGGTTGCATTCAATCACAAAAGAACAACTTTTATTTGAATTTATCAAAGGAACATGACTCATTAACTCGCCTCCGACAGTGCTGGAAATGGCTTTGGCAAGAGTGCGCACTGTGCACGCTCATACCATGCACACACTTAGGTTCATCATCATCACACACACACACGCTCAGACCCAAAATAAGAAATATAATGAAAAATTAGTGTCTGGGTGAAATTCATAAGCTGTGTCCATATCGACCTGTTACATAAAATAACCCATGGCTCTGATCAGTTGGGGGTTTGCTGCCTTGCTCCAGGGCATCTCGATGATGAACTGGCGCCTCTCCATCAACCGCTCCCTATTTCCATACTTGGCATGTACGAGGACTTCACCCGCCAACCCTCCGATTCCAAAGCCAAGTCCCCACAAAATGAGCTAGTACACTGTCCAGTTCACTGCTTGTGTTAACTATTTTAAACATTAATAGGCCTTTTTTGTGGTGGTGGATAGCCTATAGCGGTTATGTTCAGTGCATGTATGGAGGCTATAGTCCTCATTACAGCGGCCGTGGGTTCGAATCCGACCTCGACCCTTAGCTGCATGTCATCCTCTCCTCCCAACATTTCCTGTTTCTCTTCAGCTGTCCTGTCCAATAACTGCTAAAATGCCCCAAAAATATATACATTAAAAAAAACTGTTTGTGTTTCCATGTTCACGCTGGTCGTTCCTCTAGTCCATCTGAGAGCAGTCAAACACCACTTTGGTTATATATTGCTTGGAGAGTGCCCATGGTTTTTACACTACTTCTCAAAATGCATTTTGGGATACAATAAGTACACTATAGGGTATGATAGTATTCACTTAGAATTTGGAAACCACTCCAAAATGTTGTATTCAATCTACAGTGTAGTGATTTTGTTTTCTGATATCACGTCCTGTCAATGCCCATGTTGATATCTCATAAAGAGAATACTATCTTACTGAACAAACCCTCTCTGAGATCATTACTGACCCATTCTTGTCACTGTTTAATGTCTGTTTTTATACATTTTGCACAACTTTCATTTAAGACACTGCTGTACATACATAACACAAATTTTCAGGTCTACACTTTTTATTTTTATGTACAGGTCTAATTTTAACAACGTTCCTTAGCTGTTTATAGGTTTCGTTTGAATTGCACATATTGTATATTTTGATCCCTGCACGGGATAAGTACATTTCTTTGTATGAGTCTATTTTTTAATTGCATTTAATTTTAATTCATGTAGGGGCATCCTTAAATCTTTGTTTCGAGTTAATATAAACGTAGGGGAAGGGGGAAAGCGGTTGCTGTTTAGTTGTGACAAATGTTTCCTGTGGCGCATTTCTTTTTAAACTGCAACTGGATGCCTTGAATTTCCCTCGGGATTAATAAAGTATCTATCTATCTATCTATCTATCTATCTATCCTCCAGTTGAAGGACAGTTTAGACAAAGGCCTCTGATAAGTGTGTAAGTAGTGGACAGCTAACAGCTTTCAACATGTATAAATAATCATGTGAAGGCATCAAGTGTTGGATTTATTCATACGGATTCACTTAATTAGTGTGTCTATGCCCGCCTCCCCCTCCTCCCTCTTTGTATTCTGTTGGGTCGAGTTATCTACAGTACACATGCGCTCATAAATTGAAATAAAGGTCCCTCTGACAAAACCCAACACAAAGGCTGCAGAGTTAATCATGCTTCATGCCTTTGGCCATCACTCCGACCATGACTCCCTGCTTCCACATCCAATGCATGTAGGACTGACACACACACACACACACACACACACACACACACACACTATAAAGGTATTATGTGAGAACAGTGCATGTTCCAGACATTTAGCGGGATTGTTGTTTTGTACTTTCCCTTTTATCTTCAATCAGAATTAAAACCAGAGGCAGATTGCGACAGAGAAATATCAAAGCTGCCTGATACATATAGCTCAGCTTTTGTTCTGCAGATGAAAGAACACCGAAATGCAAAGTGAAAGCAATCTAGAGGAAAGGCCACTTAGACTCCCCCCCCCCCCCCCCACCACCACCACCCACCCCATCCTGAAACAGTGTCAGTGTTACAGGTAGCAGAGGGAATCAAGAGAGATAGGTGTGGTGGGTGTTTTCTCCTGTAGGATCTGCCTGTAGGTTTGTTTGTAAGAGAAACAATGGCGCTAACTTCAAAGTCAACACTCTGTTGATGTTCAGTGGAACAGGTGGTCAGTAAATTAGGCCATGTTAGGCTATTCATGAAGTGTGTCAGGTAGGTAGAGCTTCACATTCAAAAATAACACAGTGTTCCACTTTGTTCAGGTGTGTCACACTCATTCATGCACTTTCACAACCAGGGCTCCATAAGGACCTCAGCGTTGGATGCTAACATCCCTCTCGGGACAACCTCGTAAACGGGGCTTGAGGTGTAGCCAGCAGTTGGCGATAAAGGACCTACTACAGAGACTTCCTGTCTTATGCAAGGAATTGTTTACATTCTGGCAGGAGAACGCCAGATTTGAACTGGAGTTGAAAGTCAAAGTATGATAGCAAATGTGAGCTGCACTTGGATTAAGATGCATTGACTGTCAATAATATTGGACGAGGCCCTGAAGGGGGTGCTGGTGTCCCATCGATGGCGGTCTCCATGCTGGAAATACTGTCTCAGCCTAACTTTCAGTCAGCCTAACTTTCAGTCAACCTAACGACAGGCTGAAAGCTGGAGCTGAGGCGGGTTTTAAACCTCCTGACAAACCGTTCCGTGCCCATCTGTCAATAAGGTCAGCTAGGCACCTCCCTGTGAATAACACGTATCCGTATCAAAAAATTGGAGCCTGACAGTGTGTGCCGATCGAGACATGAGCTTAACAGACCTATTTTTAATTGTGCAGGCAACCTAAATTGGACACTCGACAAACTGCAGGATTTTGCACTTCCGCATTGGCTTCATTTTTCCAACTCTGGAGGTTGCTGCTTGGTTTTTAGGGGTCTACTAAAGGGATACTTCACCCGTTGAAACATGAATCTGTATTGACATTGGGTCAGTAGAAATGTGAAATACATTTTGAAGTTGGTGCCTTTTTGGCTCATGTGGATGAAAGACACCAAATCCCATAATGCACAGCACCGCAGACCACTCCCACTAAGGTCAGGTTTACAGACATGTTTACGTCAACACATAAGGCCGTTTCCTCAACTGATTCCGAGATTTCAGGCAGGCATTATGTCTCAGCTTCTGAGGTGGCAGTGGCCAGCGGCGCACAACAATATAGCAATATAGCGGCGAGATGGCTGCTGCCAACAGGTTGGTTTTGTTTCTTGGCTGCTGCTCCCTGCAGCCAGTGGCACCTGCGGCCAGCGGCGCCAGCAACCAAGACACAAGACCGGCCTGTTGGCAGCAGCCATCTTGCCGCTATATTTTTTATTTTTTTGCCATTATCAGCTTTCTCCATAGAGCCTGTTAGCATAGCTTCCAAGTAATATGGCGGACATTAAGTTTCGATTCTGGGCGTGAGTTCCCACCCACTGATCTGTGATTGGTCTGTAGCTTCGGTGGTCGAAAATATGAGGAACTAGCGTTGTAGTTTCACCCCGCTAACCACAACAGCTTCCAATGACCAAAATGACGATTTTTGCGTCACTGGAAGCTCCTTTTCAGACTTAAAAATACATAGATTTCCCATCTCAGGGGAAGATGAGGGCAGGATGCATGACCATTCAAAAATACTACCAGATTTCTAATGATACAAAGCTTAATGCAAATGGGTGAAGTATCCCTTTAAAGCTAAATCGTTGTCAGACGACCACTGATGAGTGGTAACTGGTGTCGCATGCTACCTTCTTACATTTTATAACCAGTAATTAAAAAACAATTGTCGACTTAACAAACAGTTCCAAGTTAGAAGAAGCCTGTAAAAGGCTCGTACATAAATCAGTACACAAACATCATCAGATGAAACAACGGCATGAGGAACTCAGCACAAAACTGAACTTCCTTTTTCGAAATGGTATAAAGAACAGTCAAGTTCCCTGTAAAATAGCACAACATATCAGAAATGGTAACCTGTACTGCACCTTTATGAGACTTGATACTTTTGCTGTCGTTTTTTAAGGACATCCAATAATTTTTTAAACCTTTAACTTAATGGCCGACAGGGTACTCTGTGCACAGCCTATACTGTACGTTCACAGGTGTGCACGGTTGCAGAAACATACCATGAAAAATAAATCATAACTTTACTGTATTTTATTGTGAGTGAACAACGCGTGCTGGGCCAACCTGAGAAAGCTACAGGCGGAGTGGTTCGCTCACAATAAAATACATTAGTGTACATACATTGGTTGAGGAGGTCAAGAGATCAGGAATGTGGTTTAGAAGGACATGAACTCACCTACATGGTTTAAGAGGACATTCATGCCCGAGCACCGAATGTGTGCGAGGACCCTTTTGAAATTGAAGAAATTATTATTATCAACTCGCCTTAAAACTCACAAAATTTTGCACCTAATTCAAAGTAGCTGAAATGTACGTGTGATAGAGGTTTCGTAT